GCGGCAGGTGCCACAATGCGGCGATCCGGGAGCCTGCTCTCCTGCCTGCCTGGGCGGCCTGATGCCGCACCCTGAATAAGACTCCCTGGTTCTGTGAAAGGTCTGAACACATCACCCCTGCGTGCCTGGTATCCCTCATAGTACCTGACACGAGGTCTCAACTTAGCTGTACTCCAGACCCACCTGGGGAGTATCAAATGGACCAGATAATGACCCCAGACCTGGGTATGTTTGCAAAGCTCCTCAGGTGTGTCTGATGTTTACCCAGGTTGAGAAGCACTGACCTAACATGCAGCAGGGACTCGATAAATATGCATTGAATGGTTGAATCCATAAATGGCACCCAGACTCTCCCAGCAAAGGCCATGTTTTATTTAAGGAGGCGCCTGGCTGCAGCAGGTCACTAAACTGCTGTCTTCACTCAGAAGAGCCCGCTTTATTACCCAGGGTCTGTTTCAGGGGAAGCTACAGGCCAGCCATACAACCAGCCTGTCTGCTTTCCCCCCCTCCCCACCACACTTCAGCTTGTCTCGCAGTTGCTGAGATGCAGTTAATCCTCACACTAGCAGATAATTAAATACAGCTCCAAATGGTATGATACTCCCCTGGAAAATGACTAACTTGATCTTAGAGAAAAAAATAAAACTTCATGAGCATCTTGAAAAATAATTAATTCCCAGCCTATTTCCTCTGCTTCTGCTGAAACATCCATTTTTCCTGGAGAAGAGGCTTTGGAGAAACAGGGCAGATTTTTCTAGCCACCCCAGGGCCACTTGGTGACCCAGGACAGGTGAGCTCCTGCAGGAACTTCTGCATTTAACCCGGAGGAAGACTTCTCGGGGCATCCAGGGAGTTGAGGTTAGAGAAGAGAAACAGGAGCCCCCCCCCTCCACCCCCCAGCTGCTCTAACCCTAGATGCTGGACACCAGAGCACCAGACAGGAGGGAGAAGTTCAATGCCCTCCTCTCCCCAGGTTTTTGGGCACCAGTTCTTATGTAGGGCCCACAACCTAAGCAGTCTCCCACCCCACCCCAGCCCCAGCTTCTCACTGCAAAGACATGCGCTGGGGACCAGGTATCCGTGGCGTTAACCTCCCCTGGTAACTCTGGTGCCCAGGGCTGGCTGCACCCCTCACTGCACACTGGGCAGCCAGGACCCGAGCCCCCGTGGACTAAGTGTTGAGGAGAGGCCCCTGCAGTGGCTTGCTCTCTCTGCTTCTTGCCTGAAGCTCAGTGCCCGGCTCAGAAAGTTGGTGGTGGTGTCAGTCTCCACGAGATCCTGGTGCAGGACCCCTGGCCCCGCTGGCTGGGCCTGTGCTGACCACCTGCGACATGGGGGCACTCTCCCTGTGCGGACTGGCCTTGGGGACCGGCAGAGAAATGCTTAGCAGGCTTGGCTCTGCTACTTCAGAGGCAGTCGCTTCTCCAATACTGCGGTTCCCTCCAGTGACCTGGAAGGCTCTCCAGAAACTTGGACCTCCCAGTCACCAGGGACAAAGTCCTTGGATACAGAGTCACAGCCCCTCCTGGAGGCCGCGAATGAAGAGAGCGAATGGCTGCGGGAGGCAGAGTGCAGACCCCGGTGGGGAGCAGCCTGATTGTAGCGTGGGCATCACTGCTCTCTCCCAGCCCTTCACACAGCGACTTTTTGGTCACCTGCTTTCCTCCCTGGTCTCAGGAGCACTTCCACCTTCTCAGGGCTTGTGTTTCCTGTACAATTAGCGTCCTGAACTCTGGAAAATATTTGGAGATTCCAGCAATTTGGCATCCAAACTGCTTTTCTCTGACTCCTTCTGATACCTGGATGTGCCCCCCTCAAAAGCCCCTCTGATAAATGAATGAGTTTGCCATCTTCCCCTTTTGGGGGTAGAAAGGAGAGGACCTTAGAGGACCCTGAACCCCATGCCTATGGCCTGGTGGGACAGGCCTCCCCACCTGGCTGCTGAACAGCCGCAGTGAGGTGAGAGATGTGCAAGCAGGGGATGGAGGAGAACTTCGAGTTGTCTGAGCTCCGTACCACCTCGGAGGAAGCAACGGCCCACCCAAGGCCACAGGTGCGTGTCACCGGGGCGCCATTGGATCACAGTGGCGGGAGATTTCATCAGGATTAGGCTTCCCGCAGGTGCCAGCAAAGCAAACCGAGGAGGCGCTTTTCTAACATGCACAAAGGCATCGGACTGGATAAAAGCAGCCCTGACTTCCTGCCCAACCGCCTCTCTACCTTTGGAGTTGCCCCTTCTAGCTTTACTCGGGAGTATTCCCTGCTGTGAAATTGGCTGAGAGCAGTGGAGGCGGAATGGGGGCTCGGGGGTTGGGCTGGGCAGGAGGAGGCTCCGAGGGCAGAGCTCTCCCACACTGGCAGGCTGGGGTCTCAGGGCTGGCATCTCACCCAGAGAGCTGAGTGATTCCGCTCTTGCAAAGTAGGACATGAAGATCCTTCAAGAAGCTGGTGCCCTCCCGCAACCCGCTTACACACAGCCTGCCAGCAGCCGGTCTCCTGCCCTGTGCCCTGGTGCAGCACAGGACATGCCTGGAAACGGTGGAGGCCAAGGATTTCCTTTGGAAGCCCTTGCCACGGGGCATCTTCACCCCTTGTCTCAAAGTCAAGAGCCCTTCCCATGGCTTTGGCTGCTGGTGGCCCAGTTCGTGGGGCAAGCAAGCCTTCTGACTGTCCCAAAGCTTCCCCTGAGGCTGACTTGAAACTGAGAATAACATCAATGGTAAGGGCTTTAGATCAAGCAAATGGCAGCTCTGACTCCAGCAGCTGTGCGACCTCGCATGTTGGCCTGCTCTTTCTGAGCTCCTGACCCCTCATCTGCAGAAAGGGGATAATGATGCCGGGGGGCAGCCTGGGTGAAACGACATGTAACGCATTGGTCGGCACTTGGAATAAACTAGGAGCTCAATGAGCAGGAGCAGCTATTACGGTTACTATTACTAGCAGTGACGCGAACACTGTCCACATTCAAAACGGACCTCCTCATTTGGTCCCACAGTCCTTTAAATCACTAGATTTTGAGCACATTTTAACCTACGACCAAGGATAAAGCTGGAAGATTTGTTTTCTCTACAAGTGTGTGTGCACAGGAGAGGGGCTCACCGTGAAAGACTTCTTGCAGAGGTGAGAGGTTCCTCAGGATTAGGGGCCCGAGAGGCCATGAATAGGGTCCCAGTCAGGGGAAGGCCTTGGTGGCAGGGAGTGGGCGCTTCCCAAATCCAGCGGAGCTGGCAGCTGAGCGGCCGCAGAGAGGAGGCTGGGAACTGGGCCCAAGACCTCCCCCACCAGGGGCAGGAAGCTGGGAGGCTTCTCTCCAGGCACTAGCAGGCAGAGACCTTGGCCTCGGAGACACTCAGGTTTGCTGGGGGCAGCTCCTGAGGATGACACCTCGCCCTCAGACCCCGGGCTGTGCGTCGTGCCAGGAGGGTGGCGCCAGGCTGGCCTGTAGGGCACATCATCCCTCCCTCTGTCCTCAGCCTTGTCTCTCTGCCTTCAACACCAGGATTCCACCCTGATCCAACCTGCTAATAAGACAGCTTTTTTGTATCCTCACCCCCACCCACACTCTTTTTTGGGAAGCATTTTATCCTCAGAACTCCTTGTATCAGTCCCCAGTTTTCAAAGCAGAGATAAATGACCCGCCTAGGGTCCCATAACGGTAGGTGATAAAGCCAAAGAAGGTTTTCCATTCTTTTAACATCCAGTCTAGGGCACCTTCTACGTCACCAGTGGTGTCCAAGGGCGCCCCCTAGACCAACACCTGGGATTGTGTAGAAATTTGTCCTCTGCCTGCTGACAGTTCCAGGTGGAGCCCCGCGCTCCGCGGTTCCCACCCACCCTCCAGGTGACTTTGATTCAAGCTAGGCAACCACTGTGCCAGTTTCTTGAACCCCTGACCGCAGGAATCACCAAGGGAAGAGCTCCCAGGTACCTGTTTCCCCCAATCCACCCGACGTGGAATTAGCTTAGGTCCCACCCACACCTGCTAGGGGCTCAGGAGTCTGTCCAACTGCCCCAGGTAATTCTTAGGTTCAGGCAAGTTCAGGAAATAGTGACTTGATCCTGCTGCCTAGGGGACCAAGACACGGAAGCTTTATAAAAATCCTGGTGTGCCAAGAAAAAACATTGTAAACCTAAACTACAGAATCACACAGGAATCAAAATAGGGTGTTATCTTTTCCTCCAATTCATTAAACGCGCGACACTGGGAGACCCACCTAAGTCCGCACCCCTCCTTCCCCACGGGAGAGGCCGGGGAGGGACTTTCGGAAGCTTGCTTCGAGGGCGAGACTCCGCAGACAGCGGCCGCTGCGGGCGTGCGGCCCGCGGAGACACAGGGCCCGTCCCGTCCCTGGACCCGCCTCCACTCGGGGCGCAGGGTAGCGGCTGCCTCCGCTCGCAGCGCGGCCGCGCATCTGGGGGATGCAGACCCGCCAGGCTGCCTGAGGACGAACGCCCGGGGCAGGCAGGCGTCTCCGCGTACCGGCTCTCCGGGGCTTTTGCTCAGGCGCCAGCCTGGGCCCCAGCGCAGAATCCGGGGTCCTTAATTCCGCCCCGTTTTCCGGCTGTGCAGACGGGGCTGCGAACCACCGCGCGAGCCTAGCAACTCCTAAGATGGGAAGGGGGGGCCCTCCATCCCCGCCGCCTCCACCCTCAAAGCCGCCGCAGCACAGCGGTGGGCGGGCTCGGGGCCTCCTCCTCCGGCGCCCAGCTCCCCGGCCCGCGGGCCGCCCGACGGCCGCAAGAGGCCGCGGCCCGCAAGCGCGTCTACCCGAGAAGCACTAAGCCCGAGTCGGCAGGACCCCGGCACGCCCGCAGGGGCGCCCGCCGCGGACCTCAAAGCCCCGCCCCCTGCCGCAGGCCCCCTGTGGCTCCGCCCCGGACGCGAGGCCCGCCCACCTCCCCGCCCCAGGCAAGGCCCCGCCCTGAACGCTGGACCGGGATCCCGCCCCCTGCAGCGGGCCCCCTGTGGCCCCGCCCCGATCTCAGGACAGGGATCACGCCACGCCCCCGGACGCAGCTCCGCCCCCTGCGCGCCCAGGTTCGGACCCTCGGGCTGCGCGTGCGCCTGGGGTTGGCAGCCCGCGGAGGCCGCCCCCCGTGGTGAGTCTGTCAGGGGCGTAAAGTCGAGGGCGCTGCGTGGGGAGGACAGCGGGGCGCGCCCCACCCAGAGGGCCTCGGAACCGCCCGCGGTTCCTCCCGGGCTTTTCTCCGTGCGGAAGGCGGCGGGATCCCCGAGCCGGCTCGTGGGCGCCGTGCCATAGGGAACGCCGGGCCCTGTGCCTGCCCCTGACTCTGACCCTGC